GAAACATGAAGTTCTATACTACACCAAGACAAATATTACCAATAGATTCCTCTCAATTATTCCATAAGTCGAGGAAATTGCTGTACAGCTACATCATTGGTTCTTAACAGACATAAGCGAAACTGTTCTACTTATAAGCACAGCACTTCAGACTGCAGTTTCAACACTCTTCAAACCATACAGAATCCAAAATTTGTTTTTAAACACAAATAAAATAAAATCTCACTCAAATGTTTTGCTCTGAGACCTAGTTCTCTTGCATTTCTTCTAAGATGAAGCCATGAAACATCAACATTTCTAAATACTTTAATCTCTTTTCACTTGGGACCTCTCCAGAATTTATTAAATGGAAATACCTCATTTTGATAAAAACTATTGAGTTCACACAACATCACTCATCATTTTGTTGGCACAGAATCAGCTGCTGTTTGTACTTTTCCTATAGAGAACTATAATTTCAATAATATATGGCGAAGTTTAACCTCAGTAAAGTTATGAAGGATGCCAAAATATCTCCTAACACTGTCTCAAAATTCCACTTTCACAGCCCTGTAACTTCATGCCACATTTGGCATCCTAGCAAGGGTTCTTAGGTGACATGGAGCGCATGTTGGCACAAAGCCAGTGCAGTTCATGCAGCATCAGCTGCCCCCAGCACCACCTGCTACGTTTACATGTGCAGGACCCTCTGGAGTGCGGCACCTCGGAGCAACTCTCTGCAGAGACTCGCGAGGGCTCTGATTTCTATCCAAACACAGTTACACCTCTCTGCAGGCATTACTGCACTGGTCACTCTCAAGTTGTGCTGTTACTTGCTTTTTTCATCTCTTTTAACAGATTCCACCTATTGTAATTGCATTCCCAAAGGCAGGATGGGACTCAGTCCCTGAGAGTGCGCTGGACCCATACGGGTGACCCAACATACACATGTGATGTTTTAGTATATATGATCCATGGGGTGCCCCAAATTCTGATAACATGCATTAAACTGCTTTGGCTTTTGGCTATAATCAGCCTACAAACACAATAGGTTTTGGCTAACTAAAGAAAAGACAAAATATTTACCTCACTGAAGAGAAATGTCAGCTAAATAAGGGCAATGAAGGCACCCAGGTGTCTGCCTACCAGAGAGAGTGTGTGTAAATCAAAAGGGATGCCTAAGATGGCATGATAAGAGGATGACAAAGATTTTACTCATTAATGAAATATAACTAAGAATTAAGTCTGCATCTCTATAGAAGTCTGATCAGTTCCCTCAGGGCTGACCAGCAGGAAAACAATTTCATTCCAGATATGAATAGCTAAGCATGTTAAGAATTGCATTTTGCATTCTACCTTCCTCAGTAAAGAAAGCCATCTTTTCCACAAGGAAAAATCCTTGTGGAATCAGGACCTGAACATTACAACATAAACTCATTCTAATCCATCAAATTTTAGCTTCAGAACTGATAGTTTGACTCAAGAATGCAGAGTATACCTTTAGCTGGATTTGGAGCTTAGGAAATGTACAGGAACCAGAAATAAAATAAATTCTAATTTATCTTGCCACTCTACTCTTTAGAATCTTGTCATTACTGAAGTCTTAAGTAAAAGACTTAAGACTTCAAGTCTACCTTATGAAAAATTACTTTTGTGTTATGCTCTTTACCCATAAAACAACTGTTCCTACCTGAAAAGGAATACAAACCAGAATAAAAAATACATTTCTGTATCTATTTTCAGTGTCAACTTCTTAGCACTATGAAATAACAGGAAACAATATAAATATTATTTGAAAAGGCATTTTAGACTGACCTTATAAGGCATGTATTGTAAGTCTGATACACAGTCCTGAAAACAGTTATGATGACCTACTTTGAGAAAAACTTCTGGCATAGATTTAGTTATAAAATATGAATGAAGAAAACCACTGAAGTAAAACTGTACTTTACAAAACACTTGAAAAAAACTTCAGAGATACAGATAGACATTTCTACACTGATTTCCATATGATCACAACTTTCTATAGAAGTAGTGTTATCTTCTGATATTGGTATGCTTTTTCAAGCCTGATATGTAAGGAGATACTTAGCCAGCCCCTATAATATCTTCAGAAAGTAACTAAGAAACTTTTATACTTAATCCAGTTTCTACATGGTACCAGTGCCCTGACACCTGAACATCTCCTGCCTCTCAGTTCCAGAAAACTGTACTTACAAGACACCTACAGGAAATTAGTGTTTTGGTTTCCAAACCATGATTCCTTGTGCAGGCACCCACCATCTGAGAAAAGGGACATGATGAGACAAGCCAGAGAAATTTATAAATTCATTAATAACCTTATTTGCAAGTTGTATACTCTGGTATCAATGTACAATGTTATTTTCCAACACTTTCTGTAAGATGCAACAATGGATGGAACCAGAACACTTTGGGTTGGAAGGGACCTTAAACACCTTCTAGCTACAGCCCCCCTGCAGGAGGGGCAGAGACTCCTTCCACTTGGGTTGCTCAGAACCCCATCTCACTTGCCTCGAACATTTCCAGGGATGAGGCATCCACAGGGCAACCTCTTCTGGTGTCTCACTATTCTCATTGTGAGGGATCTGAAGACATGCAAGGTATTTCTTCATGGTGTGATGTCACCCTCATCAATCCAACAAGCCATCACATTATGTCACTGTAGACACAGCACCATGCACACAGCTCATCCAGGGCCTGACATGCAGCCACAGGCCTGCTCACTACAACCAACAATGTGACCCAGCTGTTAAGAGGTGCTTGTGCTGTCCTGTAGCAGCAGCCACATATGGCCACCAAACTGGGCCCCTTGGAGATGCTTGTCCAATAGAGCAGCAGGAACAGGCGTGCAGTACCAGCTCTACAAAACCACCCTTTCCCTTACGTGTACCCCCGTACCCAACCAACACGAGGGGCTTTTGCAGGAGAGCAGCAGGAGCTGCTCTGGCTGCTCTGGTTGGGGCCAGGCCCAGGCCAGCCCTGAGCACAGGCCAGTCTGGGGAGCAGCCAAGGGACAGGGGCGGCCAGCCAGAGCCATGCCAGCTCCCGGCTCCTGCCGCTCCTCTAACAGCACCGACTTACAGCTCCTCACCCAAGAGTTTGTCTGAACACCCTTTTCACGGCCTAACAGTGGGTCTAAAGACTTTGAGAACTCTTTGAGACAGTTATATTTCACATTTGTCCCTGACTGGAGCATCTAATCAGTCACTGGGCAACTGATTGGATATAACAGAGAGAAAAACTTCAGCTTAAAAGTACCAAATAACAAAGACACCACAGTATTTAAATCAGTTCTAGACCAGGCACACAATACAGATTCTCTCTAGTGCTGAGACATACTTAAGCAATGTACAAAGAGCTGACAGCCTTAATTTAATAGCTCTTATGGCAAGAGAGACCAGATAAGATAATAAAAAGTAATGTAGTGCATTGCATATGATTTGATATTCAAATGCATCTATACAGTTACATAGCTCTGTACTATCACAAGGCAGAAGACTTCCAGGTAAGCAAGTGATTAATTTTTTTTCTTGCCTAACCAGACACTTCACAGATTTGTCTAAAGGTGACTTCATCTTTTATCTGTCATTTATTTCAAAGAAAATAGAAATGGTACATGAACCTGTCCTTTCCATAACCTGCAAGTGAACTGGTAAAACACAAGTCTGCTGCAAAGACTTGCCTATTGACAGAGTCATCGTGTCTGCATGATATTCAGGGCTTTCTCTACAGATGTTCTTTCCCCTCTTCTTCATTCCCTCCTGTTCATACTGCATTCAATAAGTCACACAGTCAAGCTTCCCACCCTCTTCCATATTGTTACCTCTCCTTCTTTCCTTTCTTTTTCAGTTCTACTCTTTACAGTACTTGAAATCCTGCCCACACTTCCCAAAAGTTTACTTGAAAAATTTACCACAGTTTCTGACAGTGCAAATCATTGTTTTTGGTTTGGAAAGAACCAAGAAATCTCTTATCTGTGTTTGAATGGTGGTTAGCACAATGGAGACCTTCAGATGGGACCTCACACAGCAGGACACTGTAAACTTACTTTGAACTGTATGAAAACATCACAACAGTTTTTTCTTAAATACTGAGAATACAACAAATCTTCTGTATATACCTTAAAATATATATTATATATATATGCATACTTATATAAATTGCTTAAATACTTCTTTTATATGAATGTACGAATGTTATTCAAACACAAGTAACTTTTTTCCAAGTAAAATACACTTGTCCTATGCAGTGTCATTATTTGAGATTGAGCTTTTCAGAGTGCATTATATGGATTTTCTCCAGAATAGGAAGAAATAGAAAAAAAGTGTGAGATTTTAAATGCTTTAGGCATCAAAGTAGAAAAACTCTCCATTTTCCTAGGCAGCACATTGAAGTATCCAATTTGAATTGAGAGAAACAGAAATGAAGAAAATTTTTATGGATGGCAAATACACTTGTAGGCTGAAAAGAAAGTAATTAAAACACAATAAAACATTTGCACTGAAGTAACATAACATATAATTTTGTGCAGGAAAATTGCTTTGTTTCAAAATAAGGTTGCATGTATAAAGGTGGAAAAACCTCATGTTGAAATACACAAACACTGTCTGTGACAAAACCAAAGGCATCTTGCAGCATTTCAGCAACCATTCAGAAACTTCAGTAAGGAATCAATCCCCTCAAATGAAAGTACAGCTCATGTTGGTTCCTGAAAAGCTGAAAAGTAAGGAATTAGTGTATTAAGCAGGTTCCGGCAAGCAGAAGATAAAAGCTTCAGTCCAACCTGAAAAGGATCTTTGCTTAAAAAAAAAAAAAAAAAGAAAAAGTTTAGCAAATGTTCAGAGGAGAAAAGTTAATTGACCATTTTCTTCATTCCATAGAATATTGCTGATGAGGCAACTTCAACAGGATCTTCAAATGATTAAACTGTAAGTACATAAGTATTACGTACATTTGACTGATAATTTGAGAGATAGAAAAATTTGAGAGACAGTTCCTACCAGTTTGGCTGAGTTGTGACGTGCTACGGCTCTTTCTCGACAGCCCCACGATGGCGACCATCTTTGCACCAATGCTGGAGCGTCTCTTTTTGCTGCCACCACCAACAGTGCCCACTGCCGTGTCCGACTGGCTGCCGTCGTTCTTCTCCAGCGTGTACATCTCCCCGCTGATGCTGGTGCTCTTAGTCATGTTCTTTCCTGAGATGGCCATCTGTCTGCTTTGCATTTTGGATGTAAAGACACTGTCAGCCAGTTGACGGATAAACAGTGCAGACAAAGAGTAAAAAGGGGAAGACAGAAAAGGACAGGTTTCAGATGGAAGGTTTTGGGAGACTAGAGGGTAAAAGCAGCTAATCACACAGGTAGGGTTTGGTTTTAAAAGGTAAAAGGAGAAACTTTAATTCTAGGGTCTTGGTTGGTCTACTGTAAAAATACTTGACTCATCAAAATTGTGTTTTAAATAACAAGCTCTTATTTACTGATTGACTTAAAACTTATTACCAGCAAAAGCATACCAAAGAATTAATGCATCCATATATCATATAAACACTTATTGTTTGGAAAATTTAAGTTCTGCCCTCAGTGCTGTGCACTCTTCTTCTTACATATATACACACAAATAACCTATATTCACTACTGAGTGGAAAAGAACATCAGTTTGAAGCCCAGTTTTGGTTACTATGCATTCAGATATTTCAAGGATGTTCTCAGTAATATGGTTTAGCTCAGTCATCGTACAGTAATGAACACCCACAGGTTTTTCCTCCATCTCTGCATCAACAAATACAGGTACTAGATATGTATTTCGCACAACACTTGACTATTATGTGGCATAGATCATCAGTACTGATAAAATGGAATTAAATTCTAATGTATCTTCTGTAATAGTTTGGAGACTCTGTAAATGTGCTCTATGCATCTAAACTATCCGCTGCAGCATTTCAGGTGTGCCAAGGGAACCTGATCTGCCAGCGGTCCAGGCTAAGAGACCTTTCCTTTCCTCAGAAATGGCAATCTACACTGATGACAACAGCACTTATCTAAATTTTGCTCTGACATCTAAATGGTAGGTGTCTGAAAAATTAACCAGAACTGGAAGCTCGGGGGTACATGTGGGCCTGAAAATTTATAGAGAATTTTCTATTTCAATGAAGTTCTTGCACAGAACTTAGACCTTTATTATTCTTTTCAGTACAGTACTTCATACAAAAAAGTTCCCATGAGATGCCATTTTAAACAATCCACAAAACTGTGGAATATTTCTGGAACCCAGGGGAAATGCTTTTTTTTTGTTAAAACACCAAAATATAAAGGCTAAAATGAATATTTTTGCTTCTTAAACAGATTTTCAAATACATGCAAAAGCTGTTGCTAGAGCTTTAGTGCTCAGCAAATGTCTCTAGAGCGAATGTTTCTGAGTATAGAAAAAATATATACTCCTTTTCCCTTACCTATCAGTAAGGCCTGAAATCGATTTCAGAAAAGGACTGCATTATTGTTTCTTTATGAAGATTTTGCAATACATATTCTGTCAATAACTTAACTATGGAATTAACACAGTGCACTCAAAAGCAAATGAAGACTTACAGCTTAGCCACAACCTAGAGGGAAAGATAAGAGCTGGTTCATAAAGAAGTAGACCTTTACCATTGAAAAATACTGAGTGTACTTCTCAGGGAAGTTACAAGGAAAAATATGAATGAGAGTTTGGATCAGCAGATGGAGAAGCACAAAACAAAACTCAGAGAGCCATAGTGGCCTTGCCTGGACACACAATCACAAAAGACTGAACACAGTGGTAACCTGAAAGCTTTTTTCTTTCAGCTCTCTTTGTTGTCATGTGTTAGTGCACACTGACCCTCAATAGTATGTTTATCACCAAGGGAGGAGTGAGATAGGATGTGGGTAAAGAGGAAGGCAGGGAAACAGTAAAAGAGAATTTGTATTTCTGTGTCTTATTAGCATTATATTAACTTACATGTTAGATGATAACATCACATGCTGTATTTTTTATTAAACTAAAACCTCTGAGAATTCGGTCAAAGAAAACAGATGACACAGAAACCTGTTCTCAGTTTCAATGTTATCTTGCATGTAAAAAATACTAGAGGTCTAGGAAAAACATGGCTGTGAAGAGCTAGTATCTTCAACTTTATCTTAAGCAAAGTTATACTAATAATCAGAAAATTAGAGCCCCTTTCCAGTAATGCTATTTTTAATCCAAGTTCTCAAAGGAAATATGATTGATGTGTGCTTTCAGTCAAGTGTCTTTCTTCTCAGTATTTTTAAAATCCCTGGCAAGAGATCTTATGCATGCCTCTTAGGGGAAAGACTGCAGGAGAAGTCATAGACTCTCTCCTAGTGGAAGCTCATTCACAGATACAGGCTGGTGGGAGAAGTAAGGTTTTCAGTGCTTGCACAACAACCTATTTCAGTGATCTATTTTTTCAAAAATAATACCCAGAAAATCAGTGAGTTCCTATCATATAGAAAATAGTAATTAATGCATTGTTTTATAAGTGATATTATCATTCAATAAAGGTCCTATGTCATCAGTGAAAACAGAAATATTTTGCATTTTAATATAAAAATTACACGGAAGAGAAAGTCACCATTTCCTGAGTGAATGTGCCTTTGAGACGCCTTTTTTGTGTTCTTTCCAAGATGTGCAGTTCTATTTAAGTGGAATGTATTACAATACTTGCCCTTATTAAAGAAATCAGTGTCCTTAAAGAGGCTGATCGCTATAGTTTCACTGTGCAGTTATCTAGGAAAGTATTATGAATTACTAAAGTTTCCTTCTTGGCTGCTGTCTAAAGGCTTCTGTACCACAAAATCTTTTGCTCTGTACTCCTGCCAGTAATGATGTAGACTTCAGTCAGACACCTTCTCTTGGCCAACTTTTTGAGAAAGGTAGGAAAGGGAATTCAAATGAGAAGAAAGGAAAGGATTTAGATTTAAGTGGATATACCAAATACTATACAAATGGCTGATACTAAAAATTCATTCACAAACCTTTATTTTTTTTTCCCAGTAGAGCTCTAAAACTATTTTCTTCAATTAAAGGCTTGGGAGTTTTTCCCTTCTCTAAAAGTAGCAGATAAGACATCTTTGCTACAGTCCTAACCAGCAAACAGCCCTTGGAGAAAGCCATCCCATAGCAGGGATTTTGGTTTTTTGCAATTCCTCTCTTAGCAAAATAACCTTTGAGAAATACATACTTGGAGAGTTATGAGTGGTTTATAGTGCCTCAAAATAAATCCAGAGTGGTCATGAGCACTTCCTTCATCAGCACTCTGAATCCTTTCTGGCCATCCAGACCCTCATTCACTAATTTTTCTTGGCAGATACTTGATACCCTCTCCAGTAGAAACCAACCTTCTACCCAGCCTGCCTTTTGGCGGTGCCACAAATGGATCATTCTCAGAAAAACTGGGTATTGTATGTCAGATGTGGTTCCTTTCTGAGCTAATAGAAAGGTTGACCTCAGAGTAAAATTTAGAGAGTAAACCATACAACCTTTTTCCTTAAAAGGAAACAGAAACTACTGGAAGTTTTCTGTATATGTACATATACACAAATCTAATCTCACACACATCCAGTTTAATATGTTCAACAGTATTTTAAAACAGACATTATATAAAAGCAATTTATGAAATTATATGAGTCAATGAATAGATATGCAGTAAAAATAGGGTTCTCAAGGTGTCTTATAAGATAATAATAATTTTTAATATATCCTCACCAAAGAGAATATACAGCCAGATGCAGGGGGGGAAGAATAAAATAATGGGGGAAATAAAGGGGGAAATAAAGTCCAAAAATCCTAGTCCAAATAATATGTGCATAATGACATAATAATACCATTATTAGAACCAAACCAAGAACAAAATCAGCACATAACCCCAGCTATGTGGCAGCCCACAGCCTACAGCAAGAGCAGAGTGAAGGTGGCAGCCAGGCTCTTTCCTTTGGCTTGACAGGACCAAACTATCAACAAAAGCAGGATGAAGGGCAAAGCTCACACAGGAACATTGCTTCCTGCACTATCCCAAAATCCAGGAAACCTCTTGAGGAAACCAAGAGCTATAGGCAGGTCCTATTGTAAATATCTTTTCAGACACTTCAGTTTTCCAGTGAAAAAAGGAAAAGGAAAGATGCATAAATTTTAGAGGAATACGTTCTCAAAGATAAAGCAAAAGGTCCTTTAAAAAAAACACAGGAGAAAAATAAGACATTAGAAAAGAAATTACACTGAGATATCTATATGTATTTGTAATTTAAAGCCAATGGTGGAGTATGAGAGCCCTAGCCACGAAATAGTATTCTTAAAAATATACTATGTTAGCCAGCTGAGGAGAGTCAGACTGACAGAGACCTGTGATGTTAAAGGTATTCTAAAGTTTGCTGATGATATTAGATTAGGAGAAGCTCCTGACTCCCTTGAATGCAGAAAGGCTCAGCAGAGAGACTTTGACAAATCAGAGGTCTCAGAAATCACCAACCATATGAAGTTTAGCAAAGTGCTGGATTCTGCATGGGATGGGGATTGTACATACAGACTGGGAAAAAAGAGTCTGGAGATTGGCGCCACAAAAAGGAACCTAGGGGTCACAGGCAAGTTGACCATGAGTCAGCAGAGCCCTGGCAGCCAGGAGGGTCAAGCGTGTGCTGGGGGACATCAGGCACAGCATCACCAGCCAGGCAAGGGAGGGGATTTTCCTGCTCTGTTCTGCACTGCGGGGCCTCACCTCGAGTGCTGGGGGCAAATTTGGGCACCACAAAATAAGAACGATATAAAGGCATTAGAGGGCACCCAAATGATGGCAATGAACACGGTGAAGGGCCTTGAGAAGAAGCCATATGAGAAGCAGATCAGGTTACTTGGTGTGTTCACTCCAGAGAAGAGGAGACTGAGAGGAAACCTCATTGCAATCTGGAGCTTCCTTGCAAGGGGAAGAGGAGGGGAAAACACTGATCTCTTGTCTGTGGTCCCTCAGTGACAGGACCTGAGGGAATGGCCTGAAGCTGTGTCAGGGGAGGTTTAGGTTGGATATTATAAAAATGTTCTTCTCCCAGGGGTTGGTTGGGCACTGGAACAGCTCCCCAGGGAAATGGTCATAGCACCAAGCCCGACAGAGCTCAAGAAGTGTTTGGACAATGCTCTCAGACACATGGTGTGATTCTTGGAGCTGTTCTGTGCAGGGCTAGGAGTTGGACTTTGATGATTGTTTTGGGTGCC